TGAAAATCAGGCTGAAATCAGAACTCAATGTGAGGCCCACGTCAATGTCCAACTTAAAATCAAGCAAATATCAACGTCTAATGATGTTAAAGTTGTGTGGACATTACTACCATGATGTCCATCAAATGTTGGAGTTTGGTTGTCGTACCTGCCAAATAAATGTCTGCATTTGACGTCAATATGTCTATAAGATGTTGGCTCGAGGTTGGATTTTGGTCACTTTCTAACACAACCTAAAATTAACCAAACATTAAAATAACTTTGTCCTTGGATGCTGGCTATACATTGAATTTTGGTCATCTGAAGTCACAACCTAATCTGATATTAACGTCTTGATGTTGTGTGCAGTGTGCCTGCAATAACCAAATGCACTACAGAACGTTAGGTTTACACATATCCACAAATTACATGTAAATGCATCAGCTTTTTACAGAATACTCACTACCCACTGATCTTAACCACTTTTGTAAGGTCTACTCTTTACTCATCGATCAGGTAATATTTACAACAGATAATTTTACTCGCACTACATTTTTAGGCAAGTATTGGTACTTTTACTTGAGAATGATTTTTTAGCACTCTTTTCACCACTGGTTAATGATGCAAACTTTTCTAATTACACTCCAAGGATAATAAACATTATAACTTAAAACCCTGACACCCCTAATAAATATTTTTTATAAAATATTTCTGCTGCCCCCATGACTCCCCCATAATTTTTTTAACCATATTTCAGCTTTTCCAACTTTACAAATTCGACACCTTCTTGGCTCCAGTTGCCTCATATAATAGCACAATTACCTCTGGTTGCACACAGGACTGTTCACTAAGTGTATCAAGACCGCTCCGTACTCTGACATCCATCTTTTTGCATACTATTGCATATTCGGACGCGGGATTTACCTCAGCCCTCCCGAAAAACCATTCTCGGCTTAGGCTGAGATGACATGTATTATTCATCGCAACGCCCCATTGTTTGACCATTAAGATGATGTAACATCTCCATTTTGGCTATGCGGGCGGACTGTCAGGGTCCCGCTCCATCAGGAGACGCGTCTCTTGACTTTTTGAACTCGGTTGGCTTCTCCACACGACGCCAGCCGTGTAAACGCGTCGTCTATCACGGGTGAGGGGGAAACGATGGCATTGCCATTGATAGCGTTTATGCTTCGCCGCCTCACCGACATAATGAGCACATTATCGGCGTGCTCGAGGACCGCCGCTCGCCCCCGCACTTAAAATATTCACGTCCTGTGTGGATGAAGAAAGGTAGGAGACAGCTGGTGAAGAAAGACTGGGAAAAGACTGCATTTTGTTTTTCTATACCAAGGCGTCTAGTGAAAATGAGTTATATCTAGTTTATTTAGCAAATTAGCATTGTGCATCTGTGGGATGAAGACAGCTGTCAATACTGGAATGCAATTCAGCACCATGGACAGGGCTAATTGTTATATGCTAAATGAAGGGCCTAAAATAAACAGTCAAACAGCACAAAATGTGAAAGTGAGATTAAACACTACTCACCAGATGGCCTGTAAATTATAATTACTTTTTGCTTTTACTTTTATTGTTACTTTTATCATTATTCATTTTAATTACTTTTATTTCATTGTTATATATAGCTACAGATGTGAAAAACATCAGGAGACCACTTGAAACAATGTTTCAAACTTTTTATGAAACGAATGATAACATTTTAAAATCTTTTTTATCTATATTTAATATATTAAGTAATAAAGTTTTATTTTCCATTTTTATGTATTCATTCATTCATTCATTTACAGTACCACTAAAACAGTTAGTGATTTTGCAGAGAATAGATAATTTAATAACCAACCATAATATGTGCAACAAGACAATAAGAAGCAATGCGTACTTAACTGATAACAATAAAAGTGTTGTTTGCTATGATTGACTCACAGACATGTTTCATATGTTTCAGTGGCTATTGTCACACTTTCATATTTAAATCTACATGAAAAAGATGTCTTTCTGCATGCAAGCCTTTTTTAAAGCACTGAATGCTTCTGTTGTGTCACCATGTAACCCTTATTGACTAAAGGAAGAGTTTGTGTGTTAACATGAACATAACCTGTCATTTGAAGACATCCACTTTTCTACACATTCCAAACCACAAAACATATCCCAAGGTTAGCCATAATGAGCAGGCATAGAACTACTTGAAGAGTTTGTGGAATTTCTGCGAAAATGTAATTTCTGCCTTTCAGAGGCTCATAATAGATGCACAACCTTGAACGTGGATGATGGTGTTGCAATATTGCTAACAAATGCTCTGAGAGCTCTTAAAACTTTGAGGAATTTTTTAATAATATTTCTATGGTTCTACAAGTTTATGACAGGGAGCAAAATCCAATTATATTTTCTAATTATTATAGTTTTTGTCTTCAGTTACCATAATATACAATGCTAGGTTTTGCGTTATGACAAACACTTGTGATATACACTTTGAATCTTTGCAGAGTGAAATTTCAAGCTTGAAAGTAATAAAAGCCTAACAGCCAATAAAAGTGTAGGATAGTAATAAAATGAAAGTCTTTAAACCTTTTTACAAATCACATTTTAGCAATGCTTTTTTACAAGGACATGACAATATTGCTGACATGATTTCAGATCAAATATTGATTAATCAAAGTATCCAAATGTATTTAATTGCAAAATTTGTTTCCTAGAATGTAAATGTTTTTTTAAGCATATAATTTTCTTTGTTATACTTTAATTTAATTGTTAACTACTTTAATAACCTCTTTATTATTGAGATATTGGCTGTATATTAGGATTTATAAATTACAAACCCAAATCAGAAACAAAGTTAGAACAGGAGCAACTTAGAACTGGTAATCATCAGGAAAATTGGTTAAATAATGTTGTGATTTAAAACAGGTGTTGTCAACAGGTGATTGTAATTATAATTTTGTACAAAAAGAGCATCCAAGAAAGGTCTAGTCCTTTAGAAGCAAAGATGGAACTCAGAACTGCATCAAGAATCGTCATTCATCTATAAGCAACATCACCACATGGGCTCAGATCTACTCTGGCAAACCTTTGTCAAGTACCACAATATGTAGTTACATCCACAAATGCCAGTTAAAACTGTACTGTGCCAAAAGGAAGCTCTATGTTAATGGTGTTCAGAAGCACCGCTGATAATGTAAACGTGTATTGTGGTCAGATGAATCAGTATTTCAGGTATTTTTTGGGAGAAATGGACACCATGCGCTCCAGACCAAAGCAGAAAAAGATCATCCAGACAAAAAAAGCCAATGTCAGTCATAGTATTGGGTTATGTCTGTGCCCTTGGCAAAGGTAACTTGCACTTCTTTAATGGCACCAATAATGCTAAAAAGTAGATTTTGGAGCACAATATGCTTCCTTTTTTTCCAGGGATGCTCATGCATATTTCAACAAGACAATGCAAAAGCACATTCTGCACACATTACAAAGTCCTGGTTGTGGAAGAAGAGGACAGATACTGCAGTCCTGGCTTGTCACCAATAGAAAATGTGTGGCACATTTTGAAGCACAAACTGCAACAATGAAGATCCCCATACTGTTGTCCATCTTAAGACTTGTTTGCAGGAAAAAATGGGACAAAATTACACCTGAAACACTTCATCCCCTGGTGTCTTAGTTATTCATCTTTTAAGTGATATGAAATGGAATGGCAACATTACAGAGTGGCAAATATCTTACTCGTCCAACTTTTTTTTTTAAATGTGTTGCAAAGAATCAAAACTGGAACACGTGTTTATTAAAAAAAGTAAATGCATAAATTATGAGATACACGTTAAATAACAAATTTATTTGAATTTATATTCTCTGCTGTCTTCATAACAAACCATCATTATACAATAACTTGCCTAATTAACCTATTAAGCATTTACATGTCACTTTAAGCTGTATAGAAGTGTCTTGGAAAATATCTAGTAAAATATTATTTACTGTCATCATGGCAAAGATAAAATAAATTAGTTATTAGTAACGAGCTATTAAAATTATGATGTTTAAAAATGTGTTGAAAAAATCGGTTCTCCGTTAAACCGAATTTGGAGAAGAATTTGATAATTCTGACTTTAACTGTATATATATATATATATATATATATATATATATATATATATATATATATATATATATATATATATATATATATATATATACACATATATATTCTTATTAAATGACAACTTATTTACTCTATGGGACGTTTTTATTGTAAGTTGTTTACATTTTAAGACTTTTTATCTCAAAAACAAATGTTACACACATAATGTGCTAGGGAATGCAAAAACTTTGAAGCTCAATATCTCAAAATCATTCAGAATGCAGATAGAACCTAATAATTCCACAGTGACAATATATATATATATATATATATATATATATATATATATATATATATATATATATATATATATGTGTGTGTGTGTGTATGTATGTACTTGTGTGTGTGTGTGTGTGTGTATGTATATATATATATATATATAAATATATATACATACATACATACATACGTGTGTGTGTGTGTGTGTGTATTTTTTTTACAATAATATATTTTTAATACTTAACAAATAAAATGAGAATCAGGTTAAAGCAGATAATCAAACATTTATTTGGATGAACAAATACACACCTTATTGTAAGAGAAAAAAAGGATTAGAAAAAATGGGTTGTAATAATATATTCTATATGAATAATATTTTTATTCAAATGAACGAACGAATAAATGAATGAATGAATAAATGAATAAATAAATAAATAAATAAATAAATAAATAAATAAATAAATAAATAAATAAATAAAGATAAGGACATATATTTTGGCTCAGTAAAGAAGAAACAGACGGAGGGGAATCTTATACAGTAGGCATCTAATTACATCTAAAATGTAATTCATTGTGTAAAACTTATGATAATTGTTATGTAGATGTCACAAAATGTAAACAAAACGAGAGATAGCACATACAGATGCTGCAAATGCTGTGGAGACAGTCGCGCATGCGCCTTTTGCGCACTCCAGCAAATAAAAACTTTGGCTGATGAAGACACGAAAACAAGCAACAAGGATCGATTACTGAACATTCGGTAGTAACCTGATTTATTTATCCTATTTGATACTGATTATTATATACATAACAAGAAACCTTTTCTTCGATATGCTTGCCGAATCATAAACGAACTATGCAAATGTGTAAATATTATGATGTCATTTAAATGAGTTTTAATAGCGACGTACTGTATCTGCAATATCCTTTGCGTGTGGCATTTTAATGTAGCTTGCCATTGTGATTTATATAATTACGCGGACTCGTTAAATCCTCTTTATTGACTTTGCGTTTATTGACATGTTTATTGCTGTCGCCAATATTTCAGCATCTCCGGATCCGCCTGATTTAATCGCAGTAAATGCAATGGCTCTGTACAACCCTATTTGCATAAATATGCGCTTATAAGACGTCGGTTTGATCGTGCAGATATATATGAAAATGTCTCGAGTGTTTTGAATGTCAGGGAAGCAGATCTACGTCGTGTGATTAATATTTGCTGCAGAAGTATTGTCATAAATATGCCATGGTGGGTTGAGTCATCCTCAACTAAACTTGTTAGCTTGTGGATGTATGTAAACGTTTAAGAATGCGTGTTCCCTGAATGCATAAACCAGCTAGTTTGCATCAATGTGAACACTTTAATAGTGCATTTCATGTTTAGTGAGGTTTAGTTTTCTTGCTGATCATGTTAGCCAAACGTCCTTTTTAGGGTTGTGTCATTAATGAGCCCATTTTGTGGTAAGTGCAATATTATGTTAGCTGATACACAGTAATTGTCTGATGATTTTGCAGTCTGGCATTGTTGCTATGGTTACATGGTCAGTCCACTTTGATTTCAGAATAAATGCTTAACTCTACTGTATGTGCACAGAACAACATTTTTGTTTCATCTTGTAATGTGTTTAAAAGTAAAAGATAATGTGTACATTACGCTCTTTCATTTCCTTGGGGGTGTATAAATTAGCAGCCACACAACCACCTCAAAATAATACCCTGACTTGAATATGAACGACTAATCTGCACATGATTTATGAACTAATTTGCATTACTCTGTTTTAAACCCCTGTGTTCATTATTTTAAAATTCAGTTTTTGCTAATGAACCTTTTACCGCACCTCAAGAGAATTCAGAATATAAAAGGCTTGATTAAGCTTAAATGAAAGCAAATCACCTGCATTTTTAATCTAGAACTTAAGGCTGTAGTTTATTGAACAAGTGTAATTGATACTATGAGATAATATGGATCGATGGGGGAAAAAATAAGGAAATTAAAACTAATTATTTTTGCTTCTCTGCACCAGTGCGTGTTTTGAGTTTATGTTTTCTTTTATATAGTACTAATAATGTGTCTTCAAAAAGTCAAAGATTACTTATTTAGATAATTACATTGTAGAAAATGTTAAATTCAATAATTCCATAATTCCAAGTTGTTATTTTTCAGAAAAGAAATACTCTAATTAGCTGTATTTTTACTTTAAAATTTAGATTAAATGTTATCATTTTACTTAAAACCATACCGAAAATTAAATGCACTGAAAGTGGTAAAGTGTTAGTTCTTCTAAAAATGAAAATTACATAATTAATTACTCACCAGACATCACGGTGGCACAGTGGGTAGCACGATTGCCTCACAGCAAGAAGGTCGTTGGTTCGAGTCCTGGCTGGGTCAGTTGGTATTTCTGTGTAGAGTTTGCATTTTCTCATGTGTTCGCGTGACCTTTCTCTGAGCGCTCTGGTTTCCCCCACAGTCCAAAGACATGAGCTATAGGTGAATTGGGTAAGCTAAATTAGCCATAGCGTATGTGTGTGAATGCAAGTATGTATGGGTGTTTCCCAGTGTTGGGTTGCAGTTGAAAGGGCATCCGCTGCATAAAACAAATGCAGGATAAGTTGGTGGTTCATTCCGCTTAGGTGACCCTTGATTAATAAAGAGACTAAGCTGACAATAAAATGCATAAGTAAAAAAATTACTCACCCTCAATATTATTCAATGAAAAAAATCAGAGATGTTCTCTAAACACAAATTAAGATAATTAATTAATTAATCACTAAATTCACTAAATTATTATTGTAGCTTGATAATATTCTGATTGAACCACAGAAGGCATATGGTCTGTGTTGAGGATGCTTTACTTTTCTGGACTTTGAATGGGAACCTTGCTATCTAGGGCTATGCGATTAATAGAATAGATAAATAGAATTACAATCACGATTTGAAACATTTCAATTAGCTAATCGCAAGAGGCTGCAAAATTATATATATATATATATATATATATATATATATATATATATATATATATATATATATATATATATATATATATATATATGTATTAAATAATTTACCCCACCCAGAGCAAATGCGTGACTGCCATCTGTGTGTGACAGTCTTACTAGTCAATTGAGTAAGCACACTTTTGTTCTGCCTAGTCAGAATTGCGCAACCGAACTATGCAGAAAGCCCACAATGAAACAAACAAACAAACAAACAAACAGGAAAGCGCAGATAAATGGGATGATGGTAATATGGGAATATTTTGGTTTCAAAGTCACAGACTCAGAACAAAAACAGGTTATTTGCTAGAGCTGTCACACAATTGTTGCCACAGCATAAGGAAATACAAGAACCAGCACCTAAAAAAGCACCACAGGCCGCTGTATAAGGAGTGTCTTGCTAAAAAGTCAGTCACACTTTATTTTGATGGTCCGTTTGTTGAATTTAAGTTACATTGCATCTGCATGCCAACCAATTCACATTAGATTATAAGTAAACTGTTAGGTTGGGACTTGGGGTTAGGGTTGGGGTTTAGGGTTAGTGTAAGTTGACATGTACTTGCAAAGTTTCTTATAGTCAGCTAAATGTCTGTTGAAGGAGCAGTATCAACAGATATTTAGCAGACAGTCTACTAATACTCAAATGGACCATCCAAATAAAGTGTTACCAAAAAGTCAACTAAAAGTATTGCGAGTGACACTTAGGGCTTTATTTTGACGATCCATGAGCAAAGTGCAAAGCGCAGAGCGCAAAAGCAATTAGGGCGTGTCGGAATCCACTTTTGCTAATAGAAGGACGGAAAAATCCGCTTTGCGCCGCAGCACATAGTCTAAAAGGGTTGAGCTTATTTCCTAATGAGTTATAGGTGTGTTTTAATAATAAACCAATCAGAGTCTCATCTCCCATTCCCTTTAAGAGTCAGTTGCGGTGCGCCATAGCGCATTTGCTATTTACATGACAACTTTGTAAGTGGAAAAACTGAGCGTTTCACTAGCAAGGAAACAGTTAAACAGAGCATCTGCTGCACGAGAATGATAGATAATACCTCCCATTATCTACTTTCACTTTCGCTCTCGTGGATAGGGAAACCTTGTATGCACAGACATCAATTAGCCTATAAATAATTAATTTCGTTTTGTTACGCGCAAATATTTGTTTCAAAACTATTTATAAAATCAGTTCTAATTTCCAGCAAATAAATAACTGAACAATAATAACGAAGTGTGTTCAAACAATTGAGTTATATCCTAATACACATGCTATGCAGGTGGGCAAATCTAAGCTTGTTTTTAATAAAACAATTATAAATATGCATATAATAAATAATACTGCTAATAATAATAATAACATTCTACAAAAGCAAATTGAATAAATTGAAAAAGCCTTCCGAGATGAAGAAGGTATGAAAGTTTAGTTTTTATATATATGTAGGCTAGAAAATAATAAAACGTCAAACGACTCTTGCACCAAGCTGAAACCAGCAAACAACTATTGGGTCGTGCCTAGCGCCGCATTGCGCCGGGTGTATGATAGGGCCCTTAATCTAGTAGCTACAGTAGCAACAGCAAAGTACAATTTCAGAGTTGTTTGCAGCTGTTACACCGTATAAAAAACATCACAAAGCCACAAGGTGATAACTAACGCCATGTTTGCTATAGAGAAAAAATAGTGTTTAATTTCTGAATATTTATAAACAAATTTGAATAAAAGTTGGAGTTAGTTAATATCTTTTCAGCTCTTTTTAACTAACACTTACTGCATTTTAGAAGATTTACAAGATACAAAATATTGAGCTGTAGCTTGACTACAAAATTAAGTTGTAAATCAAATCAAAATTGCAACATTTGTTAAAAAATAAAATAAAATAAAATAAATAAATAAAGTAAATTGCAATTAGATATGTTCCCCAAATCTCACAGCCCTATTGCTGTCTATGGAGAACAAGGGAGCTCTCAGATTCCACCTAAAATATCTTAATTTGTGTTCCGAAGATGAATGGAGGCCTAAAGGTTTAAAATGTCATAAATAATAACATATTAACACTAATTAGTATTTATTAGAAAATTTTCTTTCTTTATTTTAACCAACACTGTCATTTTTTCCAAAGCTGTTTATAGAGATTTTTTGAAAACATGGAATTTTTTACTTTGACCCTTTGTAATTTTTGGCTTTGTATTATCCAGTTTGTGTAAATGCAGTTAATGATGCTCTTGAGAGTGAGAATGACAGAGTGTTGATGTCTCAGTGAGAGAGCATCAGTGGGTGGTTTTTCACTTTTAATATGTCAACTTCAGATGTTGTTGGCATGCTGAGATTTAAACGTAAAAGCTAAAATAAAAATTACAATTGGGTGTGAGAATAAAAAAAATGCTGATGTTTACTTAAGCCTTTTATACTATTGTTGCCAATGTTTGATCAAGGCTGTATGAAAAGGCTCAGCAAAAAGCACGGGCTTAGATGAGTTACAGGTACAATTGCAGGAATATTATTAGCTGTGTATAACTCAACACGATGAGATGTAAAAACTTAGTGTATACTTCTTGATGAGTGAAATGTGTTTATGAGCAAGGAAAAATGTAAGTGGTTGGTGGTTTGCTGTTGATTAATTTGGTGTGTGAGTAACAGGCTGATCTCAATAAAGAGAAGAGCTGAAATCAAAGGAAGATACTTGGATTAAATTTGAATACTTGGATGATTTTTTTATACCATTGTTGCCAATATTTGTGCAAGGCTCTGTGAAAAGGCTGAACAAAAATGGGCTTAGATGATTTAAGGTTACAGGTATATTTACAATTGCAGGAATGTTATTAGGTGTTAGGGCTGCACGATATATATTTTCATTATCGATATCGCCATGTGCGAATTTGCAATAGTGACATCGCAAGGATCTGTCAAGTTGGGGTTATAATTAACCAGGCACTACAGTTCAAAGCACATCATTTGATTGCAAAGTTTACCCCTATTATAATAGTGTGAAATAATTTTATTTTAATGTGTTTTAAAGGACTAAGACTTCAAGCAAATGTAATCAGTTTTGGCACAATAAATTATGAAGTTGGCCACTTTAACAAAGAACGATTGTTTATTCATACAATGAAGAGTACATGCAGTGTTATTTTACATGTGAAATGATTAAAAAATCATTTATTTTATTTTTATTTTTTATTGATTTCATCCGTGCTTTAATTTATTGATTTTGTGTATTTTTAAGTATGCTTGTTTTATGCACATGCACTCCCGTACAGTGTCCCAGTCAAAGTAAAATGATAAATTATATTATTCAAATAGAGTAACTAAAGTTATCTTGTGAAATTATCTTCATATCACGATATAAATCACAGAAAAACTAAAAATTTGCAATGTCAATTTGTTTTCCAATATCGTGCAGCCCTAATTTTTTGTATATAACTCAAGATAACGAGAAGTAAAGACTAAGTGTATTTTATGATGAGTAAAATGTTTTCTTGAGCAAGGAAAAATGTAGGTGGTTGGTGGTTTCCTATTGATGGATTTGGTGTGCGAGTGACAGATTGATCCCACACTTTTGTCAATGAAGAGAAGAACTGAAGTTGAAAGAAGATATTTGGATTAAAGATTGTTAGGACATATTCATTAGGAAAAGATTAATCTGTGTGTAAAAATAATTTACCTTATTCAACAGTATTCCAAAAAAATTGTCTGTTTGCTTTCATGGTGACTTTAACAGTACATTTACACAACACAGTCTTAAGTTCAAGACATTTTCTTATTCTTAAATTGTTTGATGAAACGCTTTGGTGCAGTATTAAGGAATGGGCATGTCAATAAAAGCTTTTTAATATTTTTTCAACAATATTTTGACTGATTTTGCTGTATATTCTGATGAATCGCTTATCTAAAGAGCACTGACACATTATTTAAGGTACCCCTGAGCACTTTTTGTTTGATTTTAGATTTATATGACAGCTGGATTTTGAAACCTAAAAATTCTAACTTAAAACATTTACTACAGAATTGTGAGTTTGGTAAATAACAATAATGTCATGCTGATAGCAATTGCATATTAAATCTATAAACATACACAAGTCCATTTATGGACTGTGAGGACAGAGCAATATTTTATAGATAGATTGAAGTGAAGTGCTTATTAATGCACATTACAAATTGAAAATTTTAGTTTGATGTTTTGGCAGTAAATGGTCATTTTGAGCTATGTCAAAAATATACACATGCTACGTCATAAGATTTTTAAGGTTTTTTAGTCCTTGGACACATTATACACATTACGCATGCAGATTACATTGTTTTTGGTTGTTTTCACCTGGTCGGCAGCTAGCTTTCTGCAACTCTCACATGGTCGCCCACTGAAGCTAAGCAGGGCTGCGCCTGGTCACTACCTGGATAGCTAGGTTGCTGCCGGAAGACGTGTTAGTGAGGCCACCAGGTCTGTGTGGGTCCCAATATACTGATGGGGACTCTTTACTGCTAGTGAGCGCCGTCTTTCCGATGAGACGTTAAACCGAGATCCCAACTCCCTGTGGTCGTTAAAAATCCCACAATGTCCTTTGAAAAAAAGAGTAACGGTGTTATCCTGGCCAAATTTGCCCACCGGCCTTTGTCCATCATGGCCTAATAACCACCCCCATATCATAATTGGCTTCATTACTTTGTCTCCTATCCACCAATCAGCTGGTTTGTGGTGAGCGGTCTGGCGCAATATGGCTGCCGTCACATCATCCAGGTGGATGCTGCACACAGGAGGTGAATGAGGAGGTTCCCCCCAACGTGTAAAGCTATTCGAGTGTCCAAAAAAAGTGCTATATGAATGCATTGAATTATTATTATTATTGGTGTGAATAGCTATTGCAGGGGTGGCCACCCCTGAGCTATTGCACTGTATTAACATTGTTGTAGTCTAAAGTGTACAAAAAAACATGAAGAAAAAGCTTTTTAATTTTAAGCCCAGTGCATTTGTATGGATGTACTCTTAAATCTTTGGTAAATAGAACTTGATCATGTCTTGTCTGTGATCTGTAATAGTGTGTGTTTGTACTCACAGGTGAGAGAGATGGCCTCTTGCTCTGAGGTTTGTGGGTCTGGTCATGCTGTGGACTCTGGCTTTCGTGTTTTTGGAGTGCGCTCCTATTTACACCACTTCTATGAGGAGTGCACCGCCTCAATGAGGGAGCAGCAGGAGGATTTACAGGGCCAGAGATCATCACTGCGGTGGAGCTCCAGCCTCTGGAAGGTATCAGAGACAAAGGGTGCTTTCACACCTAGACTTTTGTTTCGGAACCTGCCTCATTTGCCCAGTCAGCGCGGTTCAATTGGCATATATGCATCCAGCAATCGCGTTCAGATCCCCGCCAAATCCATTGGCCTGAGACTGCCTGAATGAGGTGATTTAGGCTCGATTGAAACAAACTCTGGTGTGGATCGATTGTTGTGAATGCGATCCGAGCCTGGCTATATCACAGTGTATTATGGATATGTAATGTTCATATATACAGCTATATTAAAAGAAAATTATTAGTATGGCGGGATGTCATTCCTACTGTTAAATGTGCATTTCATGTAAAATACAAAAGTGAAAGCATATTAACGAGAGCTGTTGACCGAACTGCAGTCTTAGTTTATCTGTTATTTCTCTCTATAATGTAGAGCCTATAATGCATAAGCCAACTGCTATGTATGAGAAAGTCTTACCTCTGATTTATATCTGGTCACAATGTTTCTGGGTGTCACCATTCAAAATGAAAGCGCAGCTTTTTGTTTATAATGTCTTATTGCTCATATTCATAAATTAAAATAAGGATGCATGACAACTGAGCAGGACTCTGCAACTGTGACACTCTGACCAACGTGAGGAGAGTTTACTCGCACGTGACTTGTTTTAGCTATTTTAATCCGTTTAGAAATTTTGCCATGTGGAAGTGAACCGCACCATGAACAAAGAGCAACAATGTAACTATTTCAATCACTGTTTCGGAACAAATGAATCGATTCACTGGTATGAAAGCACCCCCAAAAAAAGACTAGTGAAAATGACTTAAATGAATTGAAATATAATGCACTGTCATAGCAAAGACAAAATAAATTAGTTATTAGAATAGGTTATTAAAACTATTTTGTTTAAAAATCTGTTGAAAGTCTCTCCATTAAACAGCACATGGAAAATATTTAAAAATACATTAACATTTAAATAATAATAATAGATGTTTTTGAGGTGAAGACTGCACATAGAAAAATAAAATACATTTGAGACATTTGGGAACTGTCAGCCAAATATAAACAATCAACTGCCAAAGCAAATGCAACAACAACAACAAAAAAAAGAAACTGCTTTTATAATGCTCACAAGATGATGTGGTGAAAAGTGACTAAGATAACTAAGTTTTAAGCTTTATGCTGTCAGTCTAGAATATGGAATAAGTTGAATATCTTATTTGTATAATAAATGTACACAAAAGAATAGGGTTATTTCAACACAAATATGGGTAAAATATGAACAAATCCAAATAAAAATACAATAAAGGGGTTAATATTTTCATAAAAAGGATATAACAGTTGCATTTCCCTGTCACAGTTTATGGCAATTTTACCAAAAACTGTTTAAAAAAACAAAACTTTATGGAAGATGAATACTTCTGAAACCAAAGCAATGAAAAAAGCACCAATAAGGTCTCGTATTCACTGAGTTTTATGGTTTTGTAGAGTAAAGTACAGAACACATTTATTTTTTCACTTTTTCAGGACCCCACCCCCAAAAGGGTTGAGCTAGTCTGGCTGCTGAACACTATTAACACTATATATGAACACAAAAGATATTATCGTCCAATACGGCTTTATATATAAACAAGAATGACGTTGATTGCAACTTTCTAGTTTCTACTAAGACGCGATGCTGTTAGCAGTGAGAACTCAAGGATGGCCTGTAGCCAATGTTTGAAAAAAGTAGGATAATATATTACAATCTAATATATAAAAGGTTTTGTTTGTTTGTTTTTTTTTTTTGTCAAAAGTGTTAAATTTTATCACTTAGGCAATGTACATGGGTTTTCTTTTATAAATTGAGCATTCCCTGCTTTAATTTTTGTTTTGTTTTTACTGCTTTTTTTAACAGCAGGATTATTAATTAGAGATAATTGTGCGTTTATGCTCCACACCAAAGGGCAAATTAAGTATATTTCACAAGTAAATTGCATACAAGTCAATGCAAACATGAAAACAGAGGTGGATTACAGTCTAGATGTTGATCAATGCAGAATAGACAATACGTGGGACATTTGCTTAATTCACATCTTTTAAGTCTGCTGTAAACCGAGCCTTATTGGCCAACAGTGTGCACGCTGACATCATGAAGTTAAAACTTTGTTTGGAATGTCCAAACTCTACCTTCATCCTTCACCAAAAGCTTCACCCTGGCCAGAGTTTTTAGTTTCAGTCACCTGATTTTTATGTGAAGAAACAGCGAAACTGCATAGAAAAAGTTTTTTTTATGCAGTTATTTCTGAAAACCTTTGGGTGTATGGCCATACACAATAAAAAGGCCTATATAAATAAAGTAAACAATAGGTCCTTTTTAATGAAAAGAATAATGTTTTATGTAAGGCCCTGAAATTGTAATATAATTTTTTTTTACCCAACAACGCCTGTACAAAAATGTACTGTAATGTACTGAATCGTTACTGCTCAGTAAAAATGAGGCATGATGCACTCTGTCTGCAGTTACACTAATACATGGTGCTAGAGAATGCTAAAGACTCTCTTGTTCTCTCATAGGTCACTCTTGTCGTTGGTGTGGTGCTCCTGACAGTGGGTTTGGTGGTCATGACAGTGGGTTATGCCATTCCCACCCGCATTGAAGCTTTCGGGGAGGGCGAGCTGCTGTTCGTGGACCGCCAAGCCATGCGCCACAATCACTCCCTACACATTTGCGTTCTGGTTGGGACGGGGCTTCTTACTCTGGGCGGGGTTTTGATGGCGGGAGGGATCCTGACATCCAACTTCTCCACCACTCCCACTAAACAGGAAGATTCTCGAAAAGGGGGAACCAGAGTCCCGAATGCAGTGAGAAGCCCGGCAGACCCTGTGATGAAGCCGCCCAGTCCGGCCTCTAGTGATGGAGGAGTATCCCCACTCGCTCGGGATGATAAAGTTCACCAGAGCTCATGAGTAAGCTGTTTGACAATGCCTGTTTTAGAGTGCTGTCAAACTCGGTGAAAGCTCTTTGTTTATTTTCATGAGAAATTTGAGAATTTTTACATTTTGTGTGTTTGATAAATGTGTAATTATAAGAGCCTTAAATTGGTAAAACAAGAAATAGATCAACCTGTGCCATCTGTTGTCTTGTACTTGTTTAATTATTGTCACAGTAAGTTTTGTATTTTTTTATATATATTAAAGTATTAATTAAATGAACAGCCACTAAGTGGTTGCAAGGCAGCAGAAGAAATCTTTGAAGAATATATATATATATATATATATATATATATATATATATATATATATACACACTATCTAACAAAAGTCGTGTCGCCTATCCAAGTTTTAGGAACAACAAATAATAACTTGACTTCTAGTGGATCATTTGGTATCAGACGTGTCTTAAATGAAAGGCAAAGGCATCTAGATTACGCTTATTCTACCAAAACAAAATATGATCATGTCTTGATTTTTAATTATTTCATTAGGACAGTAAGGTCTGACTTTGCTTAGACAAAAGTCTTGTCACTGAACAGAAATAATGTACAGTATAGAATATAAAGTCATGGTGCGGTGCAAAGAATTAATATTGTGTCCGACTCCCATGAGCTTGGCCAACTACATCCATACATCTCTGCAATCACTCAAAAAACGTATTAATAAAGTCATCTGGAATGACAAAAAAGCGTTCTTGCAGGACTCCTAGAGTTCATGAAGATTCTTTAGATTCATCTTCAATGCCTTCTCCATCTTACCTCAGAAGTGCTGACTGGGCTGGCCAACCTGGAGCATCTTGACCTTCTTTCCTTTTAGGAACTTTGATGTGGATTCTGAAGTATAAGCAGGAGCACTATCGTGCAGAAATATTTGCCTTCTACTTTGGAAAGTAATGGACAGTCAAATGTCCTAATACCTCAGGCTGTTTATGTTGCTGATTTCTATGAGAATCTTGGATCCATGCTGGTTCCAATAGGTCTTCTGCAGTATTTGTGATGATTGGGATGGAGTTCAACAGAATCATTGGAAAAATTTACCTTCTGCCACTTTTCCAAATTATCCACTTGAAGTCAAGTTATTATTATTTGTTGCTCTTACAACTGGGAGTGATGACAATACTTTTGTCAGGTAGTATATATATATATATATATATATATATATATATATATATATATATATATATATATATATATACATACACATATATATTTGAATCCAGTCATAAATAGCTTTGAAAGTTGACTGGATTTGAAAATTGTCCTGTTTTTGAAGTATATTTTTTACAGACATACAGTAATAAGCTAATAAGTCCAAACTAGAATATAAGTTAGATTCATTTTTACAGTTGACATTTGTACAGTGTAGCCATGAATAGATAAATATTTAAATCCGCTTTGCTTTTCTAAAACATTTTCTAAAAAATTTTCTTTAAAATTAAATTGTTTAGAAAAGACAAGTTAGGTAATTCTGTAATCAAACTTGGAAATGATATGCAAACAAAAACCAACTGGCACCAGGATGCACATATTAAAATGATGAATTCCAAATTTATTGAATGGGAATTCCAAAGGTTTTGAGCACAAGTTTGAATGGAGTGGTCATCTGTGATTCATTTTAAGTTTACAATTTTGGTTAGTAGAGTTACTAGTTTTTCTAAACATGCCCTTTTAAGCAATTTTTGAGGATTAGCAATACAGCGCTGCCTTGCAAACACTAGAAATGTGAGTCTGTCACAATAATATGCACAATCCAACACAAATCCACCCTCAGTCTCGCTTCTTCTAGATGCTTTCAATAATATATCAGTATTTATTTCCTCGCTACATTTTTGCCCATCATCAGCTGCATTGTGCAGAATGTGACGTGCTAAATGAGATTTACTATACACAACACTTTGCTACAGTCTACAGTCTTGCTGTCTCATTATGTTAATGTATATAAATTGTCTTCTATAAGGAAGTCCAATAAATCAATATCAGCAAATACAAAGTACTGGTGTTTCTGTCTATTATTTCTTTTTTAAAAATATAATTTTTATTGACACCTTTTTATTCACTGATAATGTAAATGGATGCAAACTACACAAAAATGTGTGATAAATGACATATATATATATATATATATATATATATATATATATATATATATATATATATATATATATATGGAAAAAAAAATGGTATGGTAAAAAATGGTAAAAATTTTGTATTTTGGTGCATTTAAACAAAACGGCTTTATTATACAGATATATGTATTAAAATAATATTTAGTCACCAAACTTATTTTCAAAATAAAAGATAATGCAATTAAATTCAAGCAAAATTCAAAATAATAATAATAATAATTACAACCTAACAATTCAACTAAATTATCTGTTTTTGCTTCTCTTGATTTTTCCTCTTGTTTTAAATTTTTATTTAATATTTCTCTATAACGTACAAATTTAGCTGTACTAGTTTTTGGATTGTTACCATAAATTATTTTGTTAGGAAAGATCTGGCCAGATCTGGCTTCCGTACAGATCAAATATATGCACAAATATAATACTGTATAGCTTCCTATTAAAAAGATGCATTTAAATATAGATTTGTGAAGGGTGTATATGCTGAGATGTTTTGTTTACTCAAATTCTCAATTCAAAATATTACTTGAATTGTTAATCCTTATCTGTGTTATTTTATTTATTTTATTTTTTTTTTGTTTAATCATGTTCATTGACACCCTTTCATTCATAGACAGTGTGAATGAAAGATAACACTGTAAAAAGGTGTGATCCTTAGTACAAAAAACAGCCACCTTTTTCCTACTGTGAAGCATCATCTATCAGTAGGCAGTCTGAGTGACTGTAAATAGATGCAGGAAGAGCGATGACTCATCCAGCACTGTTCCCCGCTTCCACAAACCGCTTTTCTGCCTCTTTCCTTCTCTCAGGAGGGCTCGCTGTGAGTCACCTTCCCTCATATAACAGTCATAACTCACAGTACGTGGGCTGTTAACAATCAATTAACCGGCGCTCCACATACACGGAAATGGTTCACTCCTCTGTGGCGAGGCTCATCCAGAAAACAAGAGTGAGATAGGGGGAAATGTTGTTTGTCTTCAGCTTTAGGTCATGTGTGAGATGCCTGTAATGTGTTGGCATCTTGTTAACACGTTTGTTTAGAACAACCAGAGCAGATGGATTCTGTGGCGTGTTTATTCAGGTCTGGGAGAGTTCTAAATACATGACCTGGCACTCAAACTGAACTTTTCACCTGCGTTATTGTTAATGTTAAGAATATACACTCATGAGCTACAACATTATGATCACAGACATTATAACCAGTAGAACCTACTTTGGTCCACAAAACAGCAACCACCAAGTAAGGCATTGATTTACTGGAAATATGGCTCATCTGAAATGGTCAAGTAGGTACTACATTTCAATTTGCTGCATGACAGTTGAGCTGGTGAGCTTATGTTTTGCGCAGCGGATGACCTTCCAGTTGCAACCCATCACTGGGAAACACCCATGCGTTCTCATTACTACACATACACTACGGTCAATTTAGCTTACCCAATTTACCTGTAACGCATGTCTCTGGACTTGTGGGGGAAACCAGAGCACCCAGAGGAAACCCACACGGTTATGGGAAGAACATGCAAACTCCACACAGAAATGTCAACTGACCCAGCTGAGGCTCGTACCAGCAACCTTCTTGCTGTGAGGCGAGAGTGCTACCGACTGTCCCACCACGTCGCCCTCTAATTAATTAATTAATTAAACTAATTTACATTTTACATTTACATTTAGTCATTTAGCAGACGCTTTTATCCAAAGCGACTTACAAATGAGGACAAGGAAGCAATTTACACAACTATAAGAGCAACAATAAATACGTGCTATAGGCAAGTTTCAGGTCTGTAAAGTCTAAGAAGGAAAGTATTAGTAGTATTAGTATTTTTTTTTTTTTTTGGGTACAGTTAGTGTGATATCCAGAGAGGCAATTGCAGATTAGGAAGTGAAGTGGAGACTAAATAATTGAGTTTTTAGTCGTTTCTTGAAAATAGCGAGTGACTCTGCTGTTCTGATGCAGTTAGGGAGTTCATTCCACCAACTGGGCAGATTAAAGCGTGAGCGTTCGCGAAAGTGATTTCTTCCCTCTTTGGGATGAAACCACGAGGCGTTCATTCACAGAACGCAAGTTTCTGAAGGGCACATAGATCTGCAGAAGTGAGAGCAGATAAGAAGGAGCAAGGCCAGAAGTCACTTATAGGCAAACATCAGAACTTTGAATTTGATGCGAGCAGCAACTGGCAGCCAGTGCAAACGGATGAGCAGCAGAGTGACATGTGCTCTTTTAGGTTCATTGAAGACCACTCGTGCCTCTTTAAAGTTTAAAGCTTAAAGTTTAAATTTAAAGTTTAAGTTTAAGTTTAAGTTAAAGTTTAAATTTAAAGCCTCTGACTGACATTTTAATCTGGGAGAACTAGGAAAAGTCCAACATTAGAAAAGTATGTTCTATAAAGTATGAATGTGAGTTTTATAAATGGAACTCAGACATACTACATCCACCAATTGTCATTATCATGTGACCTACCCTCGTCAGTTGAAGTAGGAGTAGGCTATCTGGGTACTTCTTGCATGCTGTTTTTTAAATACTATGAATTCGGACATACAGTACCACTTAGCTCGCATAGTGTTTTTAGCATACTATATAATATGGAAGTATGCAATTTTGAATGCAGCCTATGTCTTCTTCATAATGGCAGAATAACATTGATCCTGCTTTTCCAAGTTGGACCCCAAATGTTTGATTGGGTTCAGGTCAGGTGCATTTGGAGGCCAAGACATTAACAGAAATTCATCTTCATGTACCTTGAACCATTCTTGATATTTCTGGCAGGGTGCATTGTCCTTTTGCCATGAGTTGGTGCAAGTGGTCCACAAAGATATTTAGACAGCTGGCAGTGGTGAATGATTGTACTGTTGGGATTATAGAGCTCAATATGTCCCAAGAAAGCACTGCCCACAGCATGAAACCACTACTGCAAGTTTGTGTTGCCTAACTGTGTATCCTGGAGCGTTTGTTGGTTATCGCTGGATCTGTAAATGCACTTGTGTCATGATGGTGGCTGAACAAAAATCAGGATTACAGGATTAGTTTTGAGGTGATAAAGCCAAACCAGTGCAATCAGGTTTTGTTGATACCATGACACTAATCATCAACTTTCTCTTGAAACATAAAGATACTATGATTGGTTTCTTTATGATGGAGTACAATTCACAGCCAAACAGTGCAAGTGAATATGTGATGTTCATTTCTATAGATTCTATTC